TTACTAATTATCAATACTAAACTTCTACCCTTGTCTTCTTCACGCCTATACCAGGGTTTAGGTCATACCCTAGAGCTTCCAAATGAAGATTTGGATCTTGTAAAGGAACCAGGAGAATAAATTAGATGGTTTAATTCCACTGCTTTTGAATTATCCTTGTATACATGTCAACTCCTTCGTCCTGGCTAGGAATCAGAATACAGATGGAAAGGAACCAGGACTGCTAATAATGGCTAAAATATTGAGGAATGACAATGGTCCATGTACTTTTTAAAAACATTTTACATGCATTATTTTACTCTCTTTACTCTGTGAAACAGGTATTTTTTTTTTGTAGTATAAAAAGTATTAGAGAACTAAAGTGAGTTGTTCAAAATCACACATGATTTTGTTGAGTGATCCACCTGGGATTTAAAACTAGACATGCAGACTCCAGGGTCCTAGAGAAGCTGAGACCCATGGATACTTGCCTTCTGCAGTGTACTGTTGTGTTTCTTGTGTTACCAGGTCTTCTGTTTTTGAGAACGGAGTTGGATGCCACCCAGATTTTCAGGATGCTATTAATTGGCCTTCTAAAACACACCTGAGTGTACTAAAAGTGTTTTTATACCCTAAGGAATCTCTGTGGCCTACCTTTTCTCGGTCTTTGTTGATGGCAGAGGATGCTCTGGGTAATTTTATTCTGATTGCTTGAGCGAAAAGAAAAAGACTCACCAGCTGAATTTTTAATATCCTTTTTTTCCCTCAAAACTCTGGCCCCTTGAACCTGAGTTTCCTTGTGTCCTTAATTCTTGCTTGAGTTCCTTTCCCCCTTGAATATGAGTATAGGAAAGACTTGATGGTACATTCAGATTGGGCAGGGTGCTTAACAACTGATGCTATGCTTTCCTCTGATACCATGTTTTCTTTTTTAAAAGATCGAGTTTCAGTGAAGCTGCTAGTGATTTTAAGGCCATAAGTATTTCTTAGCACAGTATCTTTAGAAATCTGAGTATCAGGAAAGCCCATTTTTAATTTATCAATGGCACCCTTAATCTGAATATGCTTACGTATACTTTTGGTGGCAGAATTAATTTTTTATCAGATTTACCATGGATGCTGTTGGTTTCATTATTTTAGGAAAATGTTTTTGTGATTGTTCTAGAATTAATGCTATTCACATACTTCTATTTTTCCAATATCTGTTCAGCATAAAGAAGACAGGCAATAAAAGTCATCCATACTAAAGCTAATGCAAAAGAGATGTAAATCTCTTTGGAAAAGCTAACAGAAGTGTTTAACTGATTTCATCTTGACTGGGAGGAAAGTAAATCTAATATTAACCATATGTTTGATAGTGTGTGTACTACCTGCTGTAAGTTATGTCCTTGTGAAACTATGGTGAAAATTTTAGCACAATTACAAAAATAATTTTATACATTAATTTTTTTTTTATACAGGGGAGAAAAATAGAAAATTTCATTCTGCCTTTCATTTAGAGCGAGGGTAGTTGGAAATACCAAGTACTATTAGTGTAAATTCTTCGCAGCACTGAGAGTTTAAGCTTTAAAATAACTGAGTCACTTTGGGGGTTGTTAAAAGTACAAATCCTTGAGTTCCATCCTTTTTGGCTCTGAACTTTTAATAATCTCAGAAAATTGTAATATGCATCATATTAATCAGAACTGTTCAAAGAAACAAAGGCAGTAGGAGATTATGTATTTTTTCTATCAAGAGATTATTGCCGCGACTTGACTTAAATGATTATAGAAACTGAAAAGTCTGCAGATCTGTAGTCCTCCACTAGAAACCCAGGGGAACCTGTGGTTCGTCTCCTCCACAAACATTCTCATTGACATGCCAAGCATAATGTTTAAACAAATATCTGGGTACCCTGTAGTGTAGTCAAGTTGATATACAAAATGACCATGATATACAGCAAAGTTAAGAGCCACTGAGGTAAAAATGTTTCCATCTCCCTCTTTTCTAAAAAAAGATTTCAGAGCTGGTGGTGTTGATGTAAATCTATAGTCTCAGCTGTTTGGGAAGCTGAAGTAGGAGGATCCTTCCAGGAGTTTGAGGCTAGCCTGGGCAGCATGGGAAGACCTTGTCTCAAAAGAGAAAGGAAAGAAAGGAAAAAGATTTTGCAACACGTAAAACAAACACCACCAGGCATATCAAGCTACTAGGATAATGTTATTTTAAAAGAAGTCAATACATTTAAAATAATAAAAGTCTACCTTTGGTCTGAGCATAAAAGGAAGCAGTATGATGGAATGTACATTTATTTGAGTGCTCTGTTTACTTCTACTAGTGCCAAGGATTGTTCTAATCTTATACCAGAGAGTCTGAATGGATCAGCTGCCTGGTTAAGAGGGTGAGCTCTTACAGTTTGCCTGGGCTGAGGGGTTTCATGGGGAGTTGAACTTCTGATTCTAAACAAAGTAAAATGGTTGGTTACTTTAGTGGAAGGGTAGATTCTTATTAGTTTGAGGACAGCAAACTAATAGTAGGTGTGTCGTGTAATTAGGTAGTGATTAATGTTATGGAGAAAAAATCAAAGCAGAGTAAGAGCCAGAGTAACTAGCAGAATTATTTGGTGTTATTTTCAGTAGGTACCAATGAAGCAAAGACAGGAATGAAATTAAGAAGTGACTCATGTGACCTTAGGGGGTGTACTTGGGGAAAAGGGTAGAGCAAATATAAAGATTTTGAGACAGAGACAAATGTGGCATGTTTGAGGATGACTGACAGTACTTTGGGTAGAGTAAATAAGAGAAATGTAAGGGAAGGAAGGAAGTTGAGGTCTGACTGCAGGGAAATTGTCAAGAGCTTTTGTAGCCGTGGTAAAGAGTTTGGATTATAAGTGTGATACAAAAAAATTATGTACTCTAAACATGTAGTAATAAAAATTAAGAGTTTTGAACAGAAGAATGATATTAGTTAGATTTTGTGACCATCGTGTGAAGAATAAAGTGAGGAAGCCAGATGTGGGGGCACATCCCTGTAATCCCAGCACTCAGGAGGCCAGAGCAAGAGGATCATCATAAATTCAAGGTCAGCCTGGATTACATAGTGAGTTCAAGGCCAGACTGAACTACACCGGGAGACCCTGACAGAACAGAACACAAATAGAGGAACAAGAATGGAATCAGAGGGGTCACCTAGGCTGTTTCTGTTGTTCAGGTAGGAGAAGATATTGTAGTAGACCAAGTTGGTAGTGGTGGCAAAGGTGAAAAGTAGCCAGGTTTGTGATATGTTTGGAGGAATTGACAGCATTTTCTCCTGGTGTGAATATCGATGCTCTTCATGAAAGTGCAGTGTTCCAGGGAAGAGAGGCTTGTTTAGAATATAAAGAGTTCATCTTCGGACATGCTGTGATTTAGGTACCTGTAGACATCCAAGGGTTGAGACATCTGGATAAAGAAGTTTGAAGTAGAGCATAGAGGTCTAGGTTTGAGATAGGAGCTTGAGTGGTATTAATACATAGTTAGTATTTAGGGTCTTGAGATTGGATTAGGCCAACTAGGCAGTGAAGTAAGAGAAATGAAGTGAGGACCGAGACGAGAGAGAGATTCAGCAGAGGGGCTAAGGATGGAAAAAAGATCCAGGAGAATGTAGTTCTCCATGATAAATGAGTGAATTAATTATTTCAAGAAAAATCATCTGTGTCAGATGCTGTGAAAGGCTGTCTGAAGAACTAAGCCAGTCATGGCAAACCTTTTAGAGCTTTCAGGGGTAACAAACAGCCCACTGTGGCATGTGTGCTGTAGGTTTGCCACCACTGACCTAAACTGACCATTTAATTTGACAGATGATAACAGTTGAATGATAGAAACAAAAGCCTCATTAGGGCCAGTCACATGTGTACTATTTTCCAAGGGCTGCTCTATCAGTACCATAAACCAAATGGCTTAAATAGAAATTTGTTGCCTTACAGTTGTAAAGTTGGCAGGGCCATATTCCTTTTCTGAAGGTTATATGAAGTATGTGTTCCTGGCTTTCTCATAGCTTTTGATAAATCCTTTCAAAAAAGCCATCTTTGTCAGTCCTTGTTTGTAACAGCATAACTCTATATCTCTGCATGGCATTTTCTCTGTATGTGTATCTGTGTTCTAGTTACCCTTTTCTATAAGGGCAGCTGTCATATTGCATTGGGGGGGCCATTCTATTGTAATATGACTTTATCCTAACTTAATTGTGTACATCTGCAGCAGCCCTGTCTCCAAATATGGTCCAATTTTGCTGCCCTCGGAGTTGACTCTCAAAATAAGAATTTTGGGAGAACACAATTCTGCGCTGTATCCATATAATGAAATATTATTCAGCAATATAAAGGAGCAGAGTACTAATATGTTCTACTCCATGCATAAATCTTGAACATATCAGACACAAAAGATTACAGTTGTATGTTCCATTTGTATATTGTCCAGAAGAGAAAAATCTGCAGAGACAGAGTATTGTCAGGGGTTGGAGATACAGGGAGGTATGGAAATGACTGCTAATGGGCATTGAGTTCCTTTTGGGGATGGTTTACAGCCTTGTGATGCTTGCTGATGCTTTATTAAAAACATCAGAACTGTGCCTTTTGGAAATGAATGTTATGTATGAATTAACTATCAATGAAAATGTGATATACATATGTACATAAATACATATCATATATATCTCATGTTTCTCATACATGCACACAGAGCTAGACACAGAGTGAGAAAGAGACAGAATCAGAAACAGAGGGAAGAAATGGAGGTAGCAGACGTCAATACCTCCTTGGGCTGTTTTACAGTAATATAAAAAAGCATGAGGCGATAGGTAGAATGGGGTCAAGAAGTTTTTTTTTTTTTTTTTTTTTTTTAGGAAAGCACAGTGGATATTGTCCCATTTTGTGTGTTTATTCAAATGCTCCAGTGGAGAGGGAATTAGTGATGATGCAAGGTGAGACAGGGAATTTCTGGTAGCAGCCCTATTACTGAGTTTACTGTAACATTACGTTGAAAAACTTTCTTCATGTTTCTTCCCAGGTAACAGACCAATCAGTGAAAGCATTTGCTGAGCACTGTCCTGAACTTCAGTATGTTGGCTTCATGGGTTGTTCAGTGACTTCTAAAGGAGTCATCCATCTAACCAAGGTAGGTGCCATGGCTACATCTCCTTGGCATTTCTGAGGATCATTCAGATGATGGGTCCTAAGATTTTTGTTCGTTTGTTTTGTGGGTATTTTTACTTTAACACTACTAGGAATCAAACCTACCACCTTCTTACTGAGCCACAGGCTGGCCTTTAGTTTTTTTTTCAGAGACTCATTTTTATTTACTTTCATTTTTATTAGTTCGTGTTTATAATATATAATCATTACATTCATTATGGGGAGCTGGTACATGTGCATAATTCATCTTAATTCTTTTAAATTCCCTTTCCCTCTCCTTCCTTGAAATTTTTGGTTTTGAGACAGGGTCTTATGAAATCACTCAGTTGCCTGGACTGGTATCAGACTTGTAGTCCTACTGCCTTAGGCCCAACCAGAATTGTGGCATTGCTGCTTTGTACCACCGTGCCCAACACATTGTTATTATTATTATTATTATATTTTTTTTTTTTTGAGACATCTCACTGTGTTACCCTGGTTGATCTTGAGCTCATGGTGGATTCACGTGATTCCCCTGCTCAGCTTCCCAAGTAGGTGGAACTGTAGCCATATCCCATTATACTTGGCTCTCTTACTTTGTTAAGTATAATGTGGGATAGTTAGATTTGTACTAGTGTTTGGTAAAGTTAAAGATCAATTTAAAATAAAATAATATCAATTTACATTTTCTGAAATATGATAATCATTTAATTTTAGGTTTTTTTTTGTTTTAATTTTTTGGTACTAGGAATCGAACTCAGGACCTTGTGCTTGCCAGGCAGGTGCTTGTGCCACTGAGCTATATCCCTGGCATGATAATCATTTAAATAAGAAACTTACTTTTTGCTATTTAATTGCTAATAATTACGAATGTATGCATTAAAGGAACTGTACATGTGATGAATCATTTAAATGTTAATGTAGTGCTCTTAGAAGATATTTTGATCATGTTTTAGCTGCTTACATATCATTAGGTTATATGAGCATTTGGCTTTAAAAAGTGAGTATTTTCAGCATATATGATTAAATTGAATATGTAAAGTGAAAAGAGGTGAATGTATTTCAAAAATTTACCTGATAGCTCAGTTCACTTATATACCAAACATAGCATATCTCATATTTTAGCAATGATGAAAAAATGCCAAGTTCTTTGTAATCTCTCACTGATGTCTCAGCTCTCCTGCTTTCCAGAGCACTAGCATGATTAGGAACTAATTCTCATATTCATGTAATGGAAAATCTGCCTTCTATAAAATTACCTGTGTATTGTTTGGAAATGTTTTACTAACAGCTTTTAACTCTGTTCTGTAGAATTTATGAGGATGAATTTGTTTTAGGCATTTCTATTTAATAGTTGACTAAACCTTTTCATTCAAACTTCCTTCATTTCATAGTGATTAGAAAACTGCTCTGTTTGCAGCACTGTGCTGAAGCAAGCTGGTGAGATCCCAGTCTCTTTGGGCTTGATCCCTTCTGATCTCTTCACAGTTTAGTGGGAAATACAGTCTTCTTTCTTTCCAGATGAAAGAACAAAGATTTATGAGTTATCTAGGACTGTAGTAGGGGTGCATAGTGAACAGGACCCTGCACTCCACGGTCAGTTTGAGTTTGATTCTTGGCTCTGCTACTTGCTGATTAAGTGGGCAGCTATTTTTTGTGTATCAAATTAGGTAATTATGTAAGGTTTTAGATTCAGTACCTATGCCATGATAAGTACTAATGTTCACTAATCTTAAATAGATTTTATAGTATCTAAATTCCTGAAAAACAGTACAAACTTTGATTTAAAAAAGTTAAATCACTTTTCTTGTCTACTTTATCTGATAGCCTATGGTTATACTGAATCTCAAATGAATGATCCGATGTAATTGTATTTTGAGAATCAGAGCCTAAAACTAGGGGATGGGTATAAACTGTTATTCTCAATTATTGCTCTATCAGAACATCTGAGTGTAACCAAGGCCGTGTGTAATCATAATTTTTATTCATTTCCTATAACCTTGGCCTGAATATCTTGGTACATGAATGTTTTTCTAGTCTCATCTAATGCTGTTTATAGTGTAGAATAGAAATGCCATTGGATGAACAGATTGTGCCCAACAAATGTTGTGGTGACCATATGTGAGATTTTTATGAGCACTCACAATTGTACTCATTAAAGACAAAAAAAGATTTATTAGATCAGTAAGTGCTTTCATGAACATTTTGAGATGGCCAAAATTTATGGTACACTGGTACTTAAGAGAAAGAATTATTCTCTGTGACAAAATAACTACAGCAAATGTCTGTATTGGAAAGCTGAATTTGCTAAGAAAGTTCTGAAGAGTAGAGGCAAGGGTTACTGGTTTGGTCTGTTAATAACTGGACTTATATAATCCTACTCTATAAAGTTCTGAGGAGCATATTTTTCCTCAACAAAATCTTTGCTTTGATGAGAAGACTGGTTTGTGGTATAGGATTATACCAGAGTAGTTTCCTGGATTTAAGTTAAAGCTGGGTGTCATTTTAAACATGTATAGGTTTTGCAAAGCTTTTTCATTTTATCACTTGAAAACCGTGAATGCAACTCTGGTCCTAAGAAAATTAAAGCTTATTGGTTTAAAATATTTGCATTCTGGTAGTGTTTTGTCAATTACTAGAATATTCACAAAATATCTGTAAATATATAAATGAGCCAAAAAGTTGTTTCCCTTGTTATCGTCATAGTACATAGAGTTTCACAATACATTATTTGGGACAGGTGAGATACAGAGTATCAAGAGAGCTGTCATCTAAATATGTTTACTTTTTATGTGATTTAGATAGTCCCCCTAACATATGACTTTACTGTCTGTTCGTTTCAAAATTTGCTAAAAGAGGCATACTACACAAAATCTACGTACCATAATATCCTACTTTTAAAATTACATGTCTGGAGTCAGTAACCTATCTCTATATCTAAACTTTCTTCTACCTCAAAGAATCTATGAATTTAGGATATTGGGCCATAAGGAGACGGGAAGGGGTTTCAGTGAAACTAAGACAAATATCAAAAGTGTTAAGCCAGTGACAAAGTAAAATGGGGATTTACGATATCTTAGATTGTTAAACCAAATGCAGAAAATAGCAGATTGGGAATAGATGGAATAATATTGATATCCTGTTACTTTGGTCCGTTGGATTTAATTTCACTTCGATATTTTCAGTTTTACATGGACTCTCATTTACTTTATAATGTTTGTTAATGACATCCCTCTAGTATGAGGTAGATTCTGCTAATATCAAACAGTACTGAGGTTGGATGCCTTCTTTTCAAACTGCTGTTATATGAAAGAGAGTCCAGAAATAGCTAAGAGTGAATGAACATAAGTTGAGAAGACAAAGTCAGGTTTACTGGAAGCATAGAGCTCCATGTTTAGGATAAAAACTTTGTGATCTCTACTTAACAGTTGAGTATTAGTGTTGTATGCAGCCGAATTGGTTCTCTTCCAGCATAGGAGTATTTTTTTCACTGTATTATACCTGCTTATGTGTATACAATTTTTCTTTTTGCTCTCCTACTTTCATAAAGAATTTTAGCAAATGCAAATACACAGTTAACCCCTAATGTCTACACTGTGACACTTAACTATCATTTACCACTGAAGGGAGTAGGAGGAGCATATCAGAGGAGTCAAAGCAAATGGAGTCATTCCTGCTGGCTTACACTGGGGTACTTTGAGAATCAAAAAGGACATGATTGTTGTATTAAAACAAATAAAATATTCAAAAATCCTCAGTTCATAATAATATACAAAACAAAAACAAAAAACCCTGGACTACTTCATCCTATTAAAATGTAACAAGAGAGACCACATTTACTCTCAAGCCCAAGTAGAGAAAATATAAGAAGCAGTGATTTTCAAAACAATGCATATCAGACACCTAAAGAAGTGATTTGTGAAATATGGGAAATAAACAAGTCTTATGATTATCTTAGTTTACTCATTGGAAGAATACTCAGATTGCAGCACAGTAGGGGTAGCGCAGGTAAAATTCAGCAAACTTTTTGAAGTGATCAGACAGAATATCAAGACCAGGGAGATCAAGGCCCGGAGATTCTAGAGGAATGAGCACTGGAGTGGAGAGGACTGCAAAGAGGCTCACCTGTCTTTGGGGTCACCCTCATCCCATGTATGCAGACCTACATAACCTATGAGTAAGGAAGAAATCAAGAGAAATTAAGAGGTATTTTGAAGTGAATGAAAATGAAAATAAGATTTATCAGATTTCGCGTGATGCTGTTAAATTGCTCCTTAGGTATAATTAATAGAACTAAATGCTTACATAACAAAAAAAGAAATCTCAAATCTATGGCCTCACTTCCATGAAAGACTTTACTCCAAAATTTAATTTCTGAAAAAATTAAATATGTACCTGCCACATGTCTAGCTATTCCATAATTAGATACTTTCCTGAGAAATGGAAGTGTATGTCCATACAAATACATACATCCTGCTTAATCTGTAATATCCCCAAACTGGAAGCAACTCAAATAACTGTTAATAGGTATGTACTTGACTAACGTGTTTATACTGAATACTATAGGATACCATACAACATTTGAAACTAGTGAATTATTGATACATAGCGACATGGATTAATCTCAGAGTAATTTTGCAAAGTATAAAAAACCTGACCAACAGTTTTTTTCAGGTCCATACATAAAATTCTAGCAAATGGAAATGATTTTATTCTGAATATAAGCAGACAAGTCATTGGCTAGAGACTGAGGGTGAGGGGCAGAGAGAAGAGCACACAGGAGGGGACACAAAGGAACAAGTGGAAACTTTGGGAGATGCTATGTACACTCAATGTGTTAATTATGGTATTTCATGGGTATATGGGTATGTCAAAATGTATCAAGTTGTACAGTCTAAATATGTCCAGTCTTCAGTATGTCAGTTTTTCTCCAGTAAATCCCATCTCAACTTTTTTTTGAAGAAAGCAAGCTCAGTGTTCATTTTTGTAGTGTCACAGGGCAAC